AAATTCTTAAATATATCAATATGTAAGTAAAAAGTAACTTATTGAAACCCCTTTATTTAAGTCAAGCTTATAAATATTCATTTCCAAACATTTAAACTAGGGGTGAGCAAAAACCGCACCGCAACTAAAATTAACCGCATAAACCGCAACCGATTAACCGCAACCGCAATAAAAACCGACGGTGAGGTTTTTTGTTTTTCAAAAACCTAAAATTTGTGGTGCGGTGCGGTTATTAGTTTTCAAAAACCGCAAAAAAATCGCACCGCACTGCATATATTATATACAAATTTTTTATTAATTATTAATATATTGAATATTAAAAATAAGACAAGTTTCATAGATGAAAGAATGATAAAATTCTAGAAGACAAAAGTGTTGGTTTTTTCTTATGTTTAACTTTGGAAAATGGTGAAATTTGACAATTTTAAGATATTTATTGTTAATTACTAGTGATTTAATGTTTTTAACATATTAGTTGGTAATTTAAGTTAATTGTCTTATACCTAATGGTTTTTTATTATTACAATTAATATGTTTAAACTCTTAAAACTGTTTGAACTCTAAAGTGCGGTTAAAAATCACACAAAATAATTGTACCAAATCTATGCGGTTAATAACCGAAGCACAAAAAAAAAACCGCACCGCAAAAAATAACAGCCTAACCGCACCGCAAAAATAACTGCACCAAGCGGTTTTGAAAATGGATTAACCGCATTTGCGGTTAGTGGTGATGCTTTTTCCAATAATCGTACCGAACCGCACCACGCTCACCCCTAATTCCCTCCATATTACAGGTCACAAACTCCAATAAATCAATGACCACTTCAAATAAGACTCCCAAACACGACGGACTACTTCCAAAAATGGTTATAACTTCCATATAGCCATTAATAACTTCCAAAAACTGATTTTTGTTGTTCTTATCTACTTTGTGGGTATACGTAGAAGTCATATATCATATTTTGGACTCCAGTAAAATTAAACAATTCTCATACCTCTCAGTATCTAGACTTTCGACTTATGCGAAAAATGATAATGAATTTGATTGCATTTCTTAAATTGAATTTTGTGATATTGGGGTAGTAAATAGACGAAATATTAATCAAGAAGAGTAACTTTACACAATTAAGCAAAATATTTGTATTCTGTTGATTTCGTACCTTATTTTTCTAACAAAATTTGCTAAGATTTTAGATAAGACAATGTAAAATGTTCTTATATTTTCCTTAAAGAAATAATAATATAATAAACAAAGACATTTTATTAAAAATCACTAATACTAGTAGTGGACCATATCGATAAGACCCTCACTCCGACACAAATAATCTCACCTTGAATCTGCGCCGAACAACCACAAGAACGCATCCATTGTAACATCCCAAAATACGAGCCAAAAAAAAATTTCATTTTTGAAACATATACTTAGCAAACATTAGAAATAAAACATTCACTGATCATATCATTTCATAAAAATGTCGTGTGTCCGGAAACCATTTTATAAAAACATAATAATGTCAGAGTACAAATCCCAGAATAACTCATGATGCGGAAATCAATGTGTGTGTATGATGTGCCGCTACCGCGCCAGCTCTTTCCCCTTCGACGAAGAGGTACTTGAAAACAAAACTATAAACTGTAAGCACAAAGTTTAGTGAGTTCCCCCATCATACCACCTACCATACAGTTACATAACATAC